ATCCAAACCCGTGATTAAAAGGTTTCTTATAGCTCTCAAATATGATGATAGATTTGAACATTTATAGTTTTCAAGTGGCAACAATGGAAAAATGTTTGGTTATTAATAGAAGTCTACAGGGTCTGGATATACCTTTTTGAGAAAGTTTTGCCTTTTTCTAATAAGATAAACTCTTAGAGTTTGTGAGGAGAAGAAGCCTCTTCTTAAGGGGAGCCAGCCCACTTAGGTTTACTTTCCATTTTTGGATGTACATATACTTGCATGTACGTATATACACATTTGGTGATACAAAATAAGAAAAGCTTAAGACAGGTGCAGGATTCTAGAAACATACATGCTTACACTGATACACACACCCAGTCTCCCTCTCTCACATACATACTTTACGCATAGCTCTCAAACGGATGGAGGAATGGATAGTGGCAATAAAATGTTGACCGATTTCAAAAGGGGAATAAGCCAATTCTGTATGATATGGCCCATCGACTGGGAAACAGTAAGATAAAAGCCTGAGAATGTTTATGTTCTTTCATACCCCCAAAATTCCTAATGACATTGGGGAAAAATACTGCATTGCAGCATTTGCCAGTGTACAATCATTATGTCTAGCATCCACCGGCCAGGTCACCAACAAATGTACATATTAAGTGTCCAGGCACATAAATTAAGTGTTTGGTGGCCACAGATCATTGGACCCGAGAAAGAAATTTGTCAAGGCCAAAGTATTTCTGTCCATGCACAATGATCTCTATCAAGACCACCATTCCTTACTGGCGGTACACACAGAATTTATTTTCATTTTTAAAAATTAAAATAAAGCATTAAGGTGCAAAGGACTAATTGAAGTTGCATTATCTCCTTAGGGGAGGAATAGCATTTAGTTTTCATATAGGCAGAGAATCCACCCACAATAAGGAAATAGTGCAAAGGGAAGAAATAAAAACCAAAGAAAAGAACTTGCCTGGAAGAAACCCTTTCATTGTTCATAGTAACTCTTAACTGAGAAAAAAAACCTTAATTCATCCTCAAATTCTTTCAGAGATACTGAACACATAAAACAATGTTCAGCAATGACTTCTAGATTTGAAATTTCAAATAGATTATCCCCAATAGAAATGCTAAGTTTAAAATATCTGAAGTCTAACATGTACCAAACCCTTTTACAAAACTGAGTTTAGAAATAAAAGGCAAATACGTAGCTCATTTTCTCTCTTTTTCTTTAACAAAATATACTATTGTTATTACTTCACAGCAATCTGGCCTTCCTCTCAGAACAAAATCCTTGAATATTCTAAGGACCAAAGAAGTGTTATAGGGAGAGAAAAAAGTTTGAAGGTTTTGGAAAACTGTCAAACAAAAACAAGCTCATCTGTATTTGGTCAGGAGGATGACTTGAATGAATGGCAGTTAGGAATGAATGGGACTGAGATCAGAAATAAATGACTAAATTTTTTAAAAAAATTTTAGTTGTTTTTATTTTTTAATTAAAATTGCTTTGTGAATTAATAATTCTCAAAGGAAATTTTCTGCTATTTTCCCACCTATATTCATTTCACCCTTTCAAAATTTAAATATAAAATGACTTAGCCATTATATTGCAATGAGATATATGGACATTCTGACCATTAAAACTGTGAAGAAAATGTGTTTTTTGCAGAAATATTTCCAATCTGATTTTCATTTCTTAATAAATGCACACTCATTGAAGTAAAGGCACACCTCCACATGCAGGTAGTAGGCGTTAATATTTTTAAGACAAAGAGGTGAAAAAGGTCAGCAGTAGAACCATGTGTCTTTTTGACAACCCAGGCTCAGGTGACAGTGCCGATTGTTTTAGTCTAACTAAAAAAATGCAGAAAAATTCTCAGAAAAAAAATCTGTATTAGAGATAATAAAAACAATTCTATTTTTAATAGCGACATGATTATACATTCAAAAAAATGAGAGCAAGGTTCAAGTATATGACAAAAATATTTTTATTTGTGTTCACCCCAAGAGTCAAAGCAAATTTTAAAAAAATCTCCCACTAAGAAAATAAAACAAAAAGGAGCATCAGCCAGGAATGAAGAATTGGGGTCGGGAGAGTGTGCGGAGATTTGCAATGGGGAGAGTAAAAAATTAAGACTATTTTCAATAAAGCCAATTATATTTCTTAATCTTTTACAACATTTCACTATTTTTTTAATCTCTCATTTTTGGACTTAAAATTAACTACCTGATCCTGTATCAAATTTGTCTCCCAGGAAGAAATCGTGACAGAACATGGTTTCAGTTGCTTTTACGTTACATCCTATGAGTACTATGCCTTTCTGTCCTTCTGCTACCCACCATCATGAGAAGAGACTACTGGTAAAGCACACTTGGAGAAAAAGCGAGAGATGCCTGTCACCACCGCACACATGGGTCCCAGACATTCACAGACACAGAAAAAAAAAACCAGCTTTTCACTTAGTTTATGCCAAGACTAGAACCGCGACCAAATGCCCAACACAAGGCAGTGGTTGCAAGGGCAGCTTATGTATCTGTGGCTGGAGATACGAGAGGGAGGCACTGCAAAAGGCTAGAATACAGTTTTTCATTTATTATTTTTTAAAGTAAAATGAGAGATACAATGAACTGTAGTATCAATATCTGTTTTAGTCAAAATACTACTATCACCTAGCACAGAATAATTGTTTAGAATAAATCTATTCTACCTACGTTCTGCCTATGGATGGATATTTGCTGAAAAAATTTAAGAAATAATTTTCAGAACCTATCAGCGGTGAAAGTTTATTATGCTTCTGTCAACTTCATTCAATATAATTTACATTATTTTTCAAATAGTCTCATAGGATTCCTTGCAATTTTTTGCACATACAGTTTCACAGCAGGGAAAAGGAGAGAGAGAGAAAGAGAAAGAAAGAGAGTGAGAGAGAGAGAGCAAGATTCCCTACCCTCCCTTCCCCCTCTCCTTCTCTCTCTGTTTTTTAAACCAAAAAAAAAAAAAAAAAAAAAAAAAAAAAAAAAAAAAAAAAAAGAAGAAGAAGAAGAAGAAGTAGTAAAAACAGGGGAGGTAGAACAGATGCTTAAAAATAGATTTCTAAAAATCACTGTAAGCCAAAGTTAGAAATGTAATTAACACCTATTTATAAAAAATAATTAAAGTTGGGCTGGCCACAAAGAACAGCAAAGATAATCGAGGTCCTGTGCCCCCTCCCTTTTTACACTATTTGCAGTGTGTTCTCATGATAGCCACCTGCTCCCTACTCGGCTTTTCCTCTGTTCGTTTCCCCGGCAACCTTTCATTGGGTTTTCCTCCCAGCTATCGCTTTCAGTTGGGCTGCTCGGTCTAATCTTATTTGTTTTACACCCATCAAAACAAGCAGCCAGACAAAGGCAATCCTCCACGAATGGGGAAAAGACCACAGCTTTGTTATAACATCTATGCAGAGTGAAAAGTCCTCCCCAGGCTTTGCTAGTGAGAAATAAGTGAGATGGATATGAATTTACAGCCTCTCCCCACACCCAGTTTTGAAACCACATGAAGGACGCTGCTGGTAAAAATTCAAAGTCAAAGTGAGCACTCGCGGCATCTGATCTTGCCATTTTGTGCCCATATCTTCAGGGTCAACATCAGGCGAGAGGAGTTACACGCAAGGAGTTTCCTTGCTGCTTCTCCTTCCTTTTTTTTTTTTTTTTCCTCCTTCAGAAAAAGATGCTAAAAATAGATTTTACTACTTTGGCAGAAAGGTTTTCCATTTCCCCTTCCACATCCAAAAGTCCTGTTTCACAATGCATCTGCTGGTACGGGAACCTCACCTCCTCTACCCCTCATCCCCAGCCTTCCCTGTCACTCCCAGCCGGAGGCTGGAAAAGAAATGTGCCTTTAACTTTAACAGTCGTGCAATTCCATTGAAAGCTCTCAGAGGCAATGGACCTGCCAGCCAACAGCAGCCGTGACACTGTGATTGTCAAAAAAGGCACCAACCTCGCTTGGCTAAAATGTGTGTTCTGTGGAAGAGGCGGCATGAGTGCGTGGTGTGCATGCAGTGCCATCACACTTGGAGATGGATTCTGGTTTTCGGAAAAGAGAAATACTAATAAATGCGCGGGCACACACACACACACACACACACACACACACACACACACACACGATCTGCACAGTGATTTACGATGCACAGCCCTCCATCCTTACACACACACATACGCGCACGCACACACAATCGGGTGGAATCTCCACGCTGCCTTCCTCTTTTCACTTACCATCTTCAAGCCATTCCACTCCATCTGTGATCAGAAGAAGAAGGACCCTCACACAGTGTGTCAAAAGCGGAAAGAAACGTTATGTAAAAGCTGACATTCCTTCTTACAGAGCTGCTGCCCAGAGAAGGAAGCAACAACTCAACACGCCAGGCACCGCTACACATACAAGCCGCCTCCTCTTTTTTATGAGGTCATGACAGGAAACTCTTTGAAATACAAGATGTAGCATTTACCGAAGCCCAAATAAATCACTCTCTTTGCCGTTCTGACTGCGCAGCCCCCCTGAAACACAACTGCCCGTCTCAACGCTCAGCATCCAGGAGCTGCCTCTCAAGGTTTAAATTCCCAGCACGGAAATGGAAAGACTCCTAACCCGGCTGCATCCACCTCCTGCCCCACAAAATCCAGGCACGTAGACAAACCCCCTCTCCCTTTACAAAGAGAAACCCTTTCTCTTGCCATTTCTGGTCTCGTGTAATAGAACCTCTTTCAACAAACCAGCAGTTATTTCAGCCCACCTTCACCCCACCCATGCCTTTATGTTGAAGGGAAAACTGACAATGACCTGCTAAAAATGACAATCTATTTCCCCACTGCGTTTCAATAAAAGGACCTACCCGCATTCTCTACACAAAGAGATAGTAAATGTAGGCATCAAATAGCAGCAGAGAACTAAACTCTTGGTCAAGGTGTAGATGCTTTTCTTCCCTCCAGCAGCACAAACCACAGATTATAAATCTAGTCATACCTACCATAACCATTCTTATTGGCAAATATTGGGTCTCGCAGAGCTTCGACTCTTCTCTTAAAATTTGCAAAGGTTTCAGAATATTGTTTAGATGACTACTATTGTCTTATATTTTTAAAGATCCACAAAGCACAATGTGGATGATTGCAAAGCAAATCAATTATTTTAGGGGGGTGGGGGAGAGAAACAAAAACAAAACAAAAAAAAAAAGGAAAAAAAAAAAAGAAAAAGAAAAAGAAAAGGAGCAGTGAGCCGAAATCCCTGATTCTAGGATGTAGATAAGAACAACTGAACAGAGCCTTGCTGAAATTGGCTCGAAGCTTCCCCTTTTTACATCCATTTATGGGACCATCTGTCAGCCGAAGGCAGGATCTGATTGGCTGGGGAGACGCAGGGAGGCGTTGCAACATCAGGTGCTATTTAAATTAGCTACTGCCAGATTGACGATGTTAATGATTTGGTGACCTCTACAACAACAGAGACCAGATTTCTGAACTGCTTCTTGTGTCTGGTAATTAAGGCTGGGATGAAGCAACAACAGCCATACTTGTATTTTTACCTTTTCCCTCCGCCCAGCTCAAAAGTACTGTAACAACTGCAGGTCATTGGAGGCTTGTAAACCTTAACAGTGGGAGTGCCCTTCCCTCCCCTGTCCCCAGGGCTGCACCACCCCACTCCTCTGACGGAGGGCTTCCCCTCCCCTCCCCCCCCCACGGAACATTTTCTACCACCTTATCTTTCTCGACAGTTGCTTTCTAGCGAAATGCATATTTAATGATCTGCCTCTAGGCTTAAGGATACAACAAAAGCACTTTAATGTGCTAATATGTCTACATTTTAACTTTATTTCCCAGCTCTGCTGATTTTCAGTAAGCAATGCTCCTTCTGCAACTAACAGGGCCAGTGTTTCAAAGGAATGCAGGTTTGAGAGTGTGCTTGCTCCATGAACTAGGCTCACAAAAGTTTGCTTCAGAAAACTCTTTTCTAATAAATGAAAAAAGAGAAAAGCTGGGGGGGAAGAGGGCAGCTGCCAGCCTCCACCTTTCTGCCTGCTGTCTGAGCTTTTCAAAACAGAGAATGATGAATGATTTATTTAAATGAATTTATTTCTCAACTTGGATAGAGGCATGATCTGAATTTTTAAGAACCCATCCAAACACACCTTCTCTTTGCTTTACTGACTGCTATAGAGAAAGTTGAAACATGCTTTTGACAACCATCTCATTTCATAACTGGTGCAAGTGCTCATCTTGCTTAATCGAACATGTGATGTTGCTTCTCTCCTGCAGACAATGTCTTTTATTTTTCCTGTGGCCTCTTAAAAGACACGCAGAGAGACATTTACCAAGTGTGTGGGGATGTACACAGTTTGTCTATCTTATACAATTCATAACCTCTACTTTACCAAGCCTCGGGCAGTATAGTATTTTGCTCTGGTTTGGGGTTTTTAAGTGGCTCACCTGAGGAGTTTGTGCTCTACTTCTATCCGAAAGACTAACTTATCCCCGTTCATTTAATTCATAACTTAATCATTTTGTTCCTCAATAAATACACAGAGGTAACAAATATTACTAAGGACAGAATTCAACATAATCTTTGGCTGGAGTTGACAGTGTGTTGAGATTGAGCAGAGTGAAAATACAGGTCAAAAATCATGCTTTAAAGTCCAAGAATAAATGGGTCTGTGAAAATTTGTTAAAAAGAACTAACTTACACATTTTTTAAAATGAAAGCTATTCTCTACAAGCTACTGTGTCACACACACACACACACACACACACACACACACACACACACACTTAAATATATGCACGCACTTTTAAAAATACAGATACACCATAGAACAATATGTAGGGTACACTATATAAACTATTAGATTTGAATATAAATAAATTCAGTTATTAGAAATAAAACTACATGAAAGAGAAAAGTGGAAATATTAAAACATAATCCCTTTAAGTGGAACAATACTAAATTTAGTAAACTTAAAATAATTTCTTTAGCAAATGTATAGAGTCCAATAAGTCACGATGGTACTACCATATCTAATGAACTGTGGACTAAGGATGAGTCATAGGTTAAGTCTTTTAAAGAGCTCAACATACATACACAGGGCAGGTACAGGCGCCCAAATCAACAACGGGAACTCTGAGCGGGATTTCACCAACATAAAAATATTGTGAAAAGTAAATACGAACACCATACTCACAAACACAAATAAAAACAGCTCACTTCAAACAAAATATTTACTTTGTATTTCTCTGCAGGTTATAAAAGTCGCAATTTCTTAAAACCCTTTCATCCTATCCATCCTAATCTCGGCACACTCAGTGACCCATAAATTAACATTAGGTATTCCAAAAGAGACTCTGGCCACTTTTCAGAAATAGGAACTATATGGTACAAGTATAAATAATTAGTTGGCTTTGCTAGGCTAAAATATCCATGCACTTTGTATATTGATCACTTCTCCCAAAACCTCCACTCTAGAGTCTTTTAACAGAATCCTCAAACAAATGCACAAATGTCCTCAGAGGCCTTTTCTCTAAAGACAAAGGCAGAATCCTATTGTTGGGAAAAGTCAACCTTATTATTGCATTTCCAATAGTACCATTCATCTTTCAGGGTGAGGGGCTGACCGCTACATCAGTGGTGTGACATTTGCAAAGCAACAGATTCTCAATATATTATCTCAAGAATCAGGCAGGCGAGTCTCCCAGTCATGCATGATTTTTTTTTTTTTTTCCGCCACAATCCACCACCACCACAGAAAGAAACTTGTCTTACTCAAGCGGCTAAGGCAACCTAAAAACGATATATCCCAGAGCTGTGGGGCTGCGTCCCTCTTACCATAAAGGAGCAGTTTCTTGACTCATTAATAACAGTTTCCCTTAAAAGAGGTAATCTCATATCAGGCAGCCCCTCGCCACCATGCACACATCCCAAAGATTGCAGATATCTCAGCATCAGTCGCCGGCAGCCAGCTTTCCCACACAGAGTCCAGATGGACTGTACCAGAAGCCAATTCAGCGTTAATAACTACCTACTCCGCACAGTGGAGGAGCCTTACGTGGCACAATGGGCTAGGAAACAGCAGCCGGCTGAAACTGCACATAAAAAAGACAACCAAATTCCCCAAAAGCGCCAAAAGGGAGGAACAGAAATGGAAGCATGAATTCTATTTCCTTGACTTCCATGAGAAAAAATAAAAGAGAGAGAAAGAGAAAGAAAGAAAAAGAATCTTTCAGAAACCTGGTGGGGGGGGGAAAGAAGAACGGGGGTGGGGGGAGATGAAGCAAGGGGAAAAACAAAACAAAACAAAACCCCCAAACAGATGCTGCCCAGAAAAAAAGTGACAAAATATTACCTCATTATTTAACAAAGCAGCATTAAGCGTCCTGCTGATTTCAAACATCTTGCCACAGATTTTGTTTTAAGAGAAACAGATAGAATCCTTTGCAAAGCACTCCGTCTGCAAAGGGTTCTTCAATTTTCTTGCACGCCACGGAACAGTCAATATATTATTTCCCTGGAGTTTGCACATTAAAACCTCTAGTCAGTGAGCTGCATTTTCCCCTTATCTCACACACAGTAGACTCCTGTTATATGTACTGCTCTCTTTGCAAGAGCAGCCTGCCCCAAACATGGCTGGTGTTTAAACTACTCTTTAAAGTAACAGTTCACTATATAACCACCAGGTGGGTAGAGTGCACGGATTCAAATGAACCATCCTGAAAGACGTGTTTTTTTTTTCTCCCCCTTTGGAATAGCTTTTGGGTATAGGATGTGACATGAGAAATGCCAGCATTCTAATAGGCATCTTGTTTTTTTCTCTTTCTCTCTCTGTACCTTGCCAAAATAAAATAATAAAATCCTATCTCCAGACTTATATAAACAAAATACCCTCACCAATTCTAAAGAGAACTATGAAGAATGAGGCACATACAAGCTTTGTTTCATTCAGCAAAGGATGAACAAGGAAAATCCAACCAAGACAGAGCAAGGGGGAAAATCAAACACTCCATGGAATTACTTTCCTTTAGCAAAAAAGAGAAAAATATTGATTCATGTGATAAAAGACTGATTCAAAAATATGCATATTGACAAAGCACATACAAGATGGAGACAAGAGTTTAAGGGTACAACTTTTTTCTGAATAAACCACTAGGTTTATTTGATATGGTCTTTCATGATGGCAAATCACCAAAAGCTTCAAAGTAAAGACAGTGTAAAAAACAAAAACAAAAATCATAAGCATCTCTTTTAAAAACACAGTTACACCAATAGTGATAAACAACCATAAGAGCAAACTAATCACTTCTCTCTCCCCACTGCTGTTCTTTTTCCCTCAGATCAGCCTCGAAGTGGAACATTTCTGTGTTGAACTATTTTGGATGTATAGCTAACTTGGTGTCTCCTTTGTGCATTTCTATTCCAATTAATCTGCTCCTCTGCCAGGAACAAATAGAATGTCCCAGGTTGAAAGCCCCAGAAGATGGAGGGGATGCTGAAAAGATAAAGAAACACCTGAACAAAAATAAATCTCATCACTTGTATTGTTACAGGGCCTGATTTTAAGGAGGATTTTATTACGTACAGAGCATGCAAGCAACATTCGTTGTACGTTCCAGCATATCCAAAAGAGAAACACACGCACACAGATACCTGAGATTTTGTTTTCTTGGCTGGACAAAATTAAAGCCTTGGGACTTTCACATCCTCTTGCAAACACGAATGTTGATACCAGTTTTTTCCCAGCCCATCCAAGCAACGTTTAGCCTCACCCAAAGGTGACTGTCTCCTTCATCTTTGAGTCAAGGCTGCATCACCTAATACCATTTAACCTCCTCGCATATACTGAGTTTCAAATGACAATTTTTAACTGGGGAGTGAGGAGTCGCTCTCATCAAATTCTGGTTGTATGGAATAAGCTAATTTGTACACTCACCATATGTCTTAAACACTAATTAAAAAATGTCACTTTCTTCAAACGCTAAATTGTAATCAGCCTAG